CAGCCAGGAAGTGAAAATAATACAAATGTGTCGCAACAGTGGGTAAATGTGGCGTGTCCACACAAGGGATTACCCAGCCATATAAAAGAATGAAGTGTTGACAGGCCACCACATGGCTAAACCTTGACACCACACCGAGTAAGAGCAGCCAGTCACAGAAGGCCACATGGGACTTCCCATTCCTATGGGAAGTGATCCCATTCCTATAAAACATCCAGAATGGATAAATCTGAAGAGACAGGGTAGTGGTTGCCAGGAGATGGGGGGTAGGGAGGAAGGATGGGCATAAATTGCTAACGGGGAAGGTTTTTTCTTATTTTTGGAGGCGGTTGGTAAAGATATTCTAAGATTGATTGTGGTGATGGCTGCACAGCTTTGTGAACATACTAAACCCACGCAGCTATATACTTTACAGGTGCGAATATTCCAGAAAGTGAATTCCATATCAATAAAGCTGTTACAGGGGATGCAGGGCACACTTAGCATGAGGAGGCCTGGGCAATGCAGAGAATTGCTGAATCCCTATGTGGGGCGCCTGAAACTCCTGGAATACCACATGTTAATGATACTGGAATTAAAATGAAAAAATAAATAAATAAAGCCATTTCATTAAAAAAAATAAATCACACACAAACCACTCCACCTGCACGTGTTCTGACTGGGTTGTGCACTGACTCCCATGCTCCACAGTGAAGACCAGGACACTCCTGGGAAGTCCTGACTGGCATCTGAGCCTGTTTCCTGCACCCAGGCCTATGAGTCCCCGGAGCACTGGCACCTGGCATCTCCACCACTGCCACAGACGCGCCGAGGGGCTCGGGGGCAAGAATGTGCCCACGGGTTTCTAGAGCTCCATTTCTGCAGCACCACCCCTCGCCCCTGCACAGGGTTTTAAAAAGGCTCTTCTGAGAGCCGAGCCGCATAGATGTGGGAAGATGGGGTGGGGTAGGGAGAGCAAGGCCTCAGAGCATCCCCGGGTCTCCAGACTGCCTGTGCCGAGCTTTATTAGAATAGAGGAAGAGAAGGTCCAGCTGCGCCACCCAAGGCCCACTGGGAGCACATCAGACCCCAAAGGCCCAGACTTCACTAGTCTGCTCACCGTGTACAGTGTTTGGACCACAGTGCTGGGCCCACGCACATCTGGGGCCAGTGTGCACACCCTGGCTCTGCCCCTTCCCCCTGCAGGACCTCTCTGTGCCTTGGTGTCTTCACAGATGAAACGGGAGAACACCCACCTCCCAGGGCTGTCATGTAGACTCAACCAGGCGCTCCATGTAAGCCCCCTCCTGGCCCACAGCAAGTGCTTGGTCAGGGTTACCTCCTGTTACTGTCCAAACACTTCCAGGGGACTGGACACAGGAAAAACGAACGTTCACCCCAGTCTGTCCCCTGATGGGAGCTGTACTGCCTTGTAGATCCCAATACAGAAACACCTGGGGCCACCTGCCCCCCGGAGCACAACCTGGGGCTTCCCAGGAGACCAGCCTGCGATGGAGCTCACAGCTCAGGGGGCATGGGATAGGCCCACTTCCTCCACCTGTCAGCAGTGCTATAAAGGAAGGTGACGCATCCTGTGGTTGGCTGCGTGGCTTCCCCAGCCCACCTGCAAGCTCTCAAAGGACAGGGACTGTGGCTGAGGTGTTCCCGCCTGTGTCCCCGAAGCCCACTATGGTCTCATACCCACATTTTTCCTGAAAAGAACCATCTTGTTTGCAAAGTTCCCAGAGCTGGGTCCACGGCACACAGCAGGTTCTCCCTGCCCTCAGGACGACCACCACTCCAGGCCTCCGGGGACCTGGCACCCGTGACCCTTTTAGAACATAGCCTGATGTCCACACAAGGAGAGATGTGAGAAGCCGGATGTAGCAGAAACCACGTGATTATAGTAGTCCGAATTAACATTTCCTGCCCACCCACCACCCAGTCGGTGCCCAGAGACTGCGACTAAAGATCTCACTTACTGCCTAGAACAGCCCCGGTACATGGGCTTCGTGGCTCCCATCATGTGAATGAAGAGCAGAGGTTTAGGGAGAATTCGCGTCCCCGGGGCCACCTGCTGCTTACAGGCAGACCCCCCAACCTAAACCCAGGACTTTCGGACTCCAGGCCTGCCTCCCAGGTGCCTGCCTCCCCCAGGTCACAGATCTGCACCCAGACCCACCCGCCCCCAGTCACTCCCCCCACTGCGGCTGGTTCCAGGTCCACCGGGGGATGGCTCCCTCCCTCCACCCATCTCCACCCCTACTACCAGTACCTTAGCCCGGGACTCTTCCCTGGGCCTAGCTTGGGACCCAGCTCCCTCTGCCCCCCATGTGCCCAGGGGCCACCCGCCAGCCCCAGATCACTGTGACGCCAGCACCAGAGAGGAACCAGAAGGACCAGGTAAGCACGAGTAGGCCGTCCAGGGCTTGGAGCCAGAGCTGCACACTCTGTCACGGGCACTGTGCCCCCGTCTATGTTCCCGTACAGCTCTGCCCACACCATCCACACACCAGGGCAGCAACCCCATGGTGTCCCATGCATGGCTGGGTCCTCCAAGGAGGCCAGGACAGGGAAGGGGGAAGGACTGAGCTGAGGCAATACATGGACAGAGCCATAGGAACACCTAGGGGGACAGAGCTTTACCGAGGCACGCAGGAAACCTGGCCTCTTCCCAAGGCCATGAGGAGGCAGCTCTGGGCAGCAACTCCCAGCACTTGGCACTGCTCTGAGCTGAGCCCTGAGGAACGCTCTGGAGCACCGCTCCCAGGCCTGCAGGGAGCAATACCCCATCCCCCATAGCCACCTTTCCCAGGAGGCCAGGTCCCAGGAACAAGGATGAGGGAGGCAGGGCAGGCCCTGGGGTCCACCACCCCCATGCTGCCAAACTCAAGGTTTCCAGGACACAGAAGGCTGCGTGGTCCTCACCTGTGGCTGTGTGTGCAGCAGGGGCCAGCAGGGCAGGACCCCCGCCCCACCGGGTTTGCTGTAGGGCCCCAGACGGCAGTCAATGCTGGGCTGGAGGGCTCCTGTGAAGTGGCTGGTGAAGGGCAGGGCCGTGGCCTCACAGGGCCCCATGTCCGCAAAACGGGGACTCTGCCAACCACTGCCCTGGGGACTGGAGGGGGCAGCTCATGGCATGGCCACTCATCCCCGGAAAGCCTGGGGGGGCCCCGGCTGCCTGTCTCTCCACACCCTGCCCCCGAGAAACTGAAGCTTCTGGGTGCCCGCAGCCCCACGCCCCTGTCGCCCCGTGTGGACGTGGGAGGGGAAGCGAGCCGGTGTGTGATGACACATGGCTGCGTGGTGGCACCCGGGGTTCCAGCTCTAGACCCAGGTCTGGACTCTCAAGAACGCAGAGGGAAAAGCACTAGGTAGGCCCCATCCTGGCTCCTTGGACACGCTGCTCCCCCAGGACATTGCTGCACTGACACCTTCTCTCCCTGCATATCCGAATCAGACCTGACTCAGACTCCCAGAGTCTGGAAGACCCTCTCCTGGCCCAGACCCCACCCTCGGGGCCACGCCCCCGCCTGCATGCCCTGGACCCTGCAGCCCACACCGAGCCACTTGAGCCAGTCTTCCAGCAGCCAGGCCATTGGGTTGGTGGGGACTCGTAGACACAGCTCTCCTCAGTCTTCTGGTCACAGAGGGGACCCGGGGGGCCGGGGGGGAGCTGAATCCCAGGGCTGGGCCCCTGTGACCCCGGGGGGGAGGGAATTTCAGTTCAAAAGGAGGCTGGGGCGGGAGGTACTCACTGGGGGGACTGTGCCAGTCCTGGCCCAGTTCCCAGGAATTGTCCAGAGAAGGTCTGGAAATGTCGATGCCCACACCCTGCCGTCCACCCTCACACTGCGCCCCGTGCCGGTTCTCCCCTGCGTACCCCCACCCCCCCACCATCCCACGCCAGCCCTCGAAATGTCATGTCCTACAACCAGACCCTGCCTTCCCGGAAGAGCTAGGGAGCTGGGTCCTAGAGACCCTCATCTGGGACCCCTAGGCTACCCTGTGATCCCAGGAAGCCTGGCAGCAGAGACCCCGGCTGGGGCAGGAGTCCTTGTACCCTGGGCCCAAGGGTTAGAGAGGCCCCTCTTCCGCAGAGCCGTCTCTTACGTGAGGAGCCTGACGTTGAACAGAAAAGTCTTTACAGAAAAACATCAAGGCTTGGACTTGAACATCCGAAATTTTTGCTGCCCTCTGGGTGGCAGGACACCAAAGGCAGAAACCCCGGCAGAAACTGGGTCTTCATCCCCCACCAAGGACTCAAAGTGCCTCCTGGAAAGTGGGCTAAAGAGGGAGGTACAGCAGGTGTGCTTGGGTTCCTGTAGCGGGAACTCACTGGACAGATGCCTGCTAACCACCTACCATGTGGCAGGCAGGAGCACAGTGGACGAAGATCTCTGTCTTGGTGGAGGGGGTATTTTGGTTGAGGGAGGCACACGAGAGAAAATTAAATATATATATATAGAATACTTCAAACAGGGTAGTCAGGAAAGGCCACACTGAGAAGGTGACATTCAAGCAGAGATCTGCAGAAGGTGAAGGTGTGAGCCCTAAGGACCACTGGGAACAGCAGTTGGCAAGTGCAAAGGTCCTGAGGCAAGGCATACCGGGTGTGTTCTAAAAGGGACGGTGAGGAGGGAAAGGGAAGAGCAGAAGCTGAGGTCACCAAGGGGCCAGCAGTCAGAGGGCACTGGGCTTCAGAGGGCACACTCCAGTGAGATGCAGAAAGCTGACGGTTACGGGGAGAAGACATCAAACTGTACGGGTGATGTGTGGCCTTAGACCAGCCTGTCGGCCAGCATCAGGGTGCTGGTCCTCAGGGCTGCGGGGCCTCCCTGAGTCTCCAGCTGGCCCACTGTCTGGCTCCCTGACACCCTGACGGCCGTGCAAGCCCACAGTTCAGCACTTACCACCTATTTGTCCACTGGCTGCAAAGAATGCCAGCGACCCAATGACCACCCTTGCCCTGCCGGCCCAGATCTGCGTCCCAAAGACCTGTTCCCCCTCCCAGAACTCACCGGGCACAGAGAAGGGGGATAGGAAGGTAACCTCGACCGGCTCTGGCTCCGGGGGTGGTGGCAGTGGCGGGGGCTGTTGCTCCTGCTCCCGCGGAGGGTCTTCAGGGTTTTCCACAGGGACGTTTCCGTTCTCAATGTTGTCGTGTCTCCCATTTTGAAGCGGCTTGCTGCTCACACCATTTGCCGAGTTGATCAGCCTCTGCCGCTGTATGGACAGAAGGCAAGTCAGACGCTGGAACAGGGGACAAAGTGTCGTGCGGAGGAATGCAGCCCTTAGGACTTCTAGAAGCCTCCCTGGCAATCAGCCCACCCAAGGAGCCCAAGAACCTCACCATCCCTCTAAGTTTGCTTGTTTGCAGGGGGACTGATGCTGGGGAGCCTCTGGGGTGGGTCAGAAGCCCGGGCCCCCCTTCTGGGGCTGAGCAGGCCATACAGCCTACGACCCTGGGTGACAGAAGTCACTCTGACCCCTTTGGTGGACATTTACAAGCTGCCTGAATGTAGTCACGGGAAAGGTCCTGAACACTTTTTTAGATATTTGTTTTTTTAAACAGGCCTATTGTGCAAAAAAGGACACTTAGAAGAAGCATCAGTTCAGTGATGTTCCACAGCCATGGCCCCTCAGGAGGCCTCCCTAATGCCCCTCCCAGGTTCACCTGCCCCTTCTCCCCTAGGTGATCCAGGTGACCACCACTCTGACATTCATAAACATTCCGTTAGCTGCTCCTGAACCTGAACTGCACGTAAACGAACGCAAACAAAGTGTATTATTGTGCCTGTGGGCCCTCCTTCTCCAGGTCCGTGGGTCCGTACGTGGTGCTGCACCACCTGGTCACGGCCACTCTTCGTGGCGGTAGCACATCCCTTGTATGAATGACCCACACGCGCTGCCAAGCAGCTCTCCTCCGGTTGCTAGGATGAGCGTGGCGATGAACACTGGCGCCCGGGTCTTTTTCTGGACAAACATGCCCACGGGTCTTGGGTATTTAGGAGGGAAGTTTCTGGGACACGGAGAAGGTGCATGTGAGCCACTTCCTACTGGCATCAGAGGCGGATCAGAAGCTCGATGGGCTCTCGTCCCTGCGGACACGTGGCTGGGGTGGTCCTCCCACCTGAATCGTCCTGCTGGCCACCCTGTGTGTGCATCTCCCTCTGACATGTGCAGCATGGCCTCTGCCGTCTCAGGAATGGCTGTGCCCTGAACCCTCCTGTCCTCTTCCCTGTCCCACCCTGAAGCAAGACCAACCAGGCCACTTCCTTCCCATGCACATGGAAGCCGACCTTCCTTGCCAGATCTGTGGGCTCCTACTCTCCAGGGCCAGGCAGAGGCCACGAGACAGGAAACCGGCAGGCCTCCCCTTTCCTTATGTGTGCGCAGCTCCCCTTCCCAGCTCTGACTGCGGACACCTGTAGGTCTGCCTGCATGTGGCCTTGGGGGTGATGGCTGTCCCACGTGCCCGCCTGGCTCCTCACCGGGGACCAAGTGTGCATGAAGGTATCCCCCACGCCCGCCCACGCAGGACTGGAAATAAAATCAATCATGATTAAAATGGATACATCTTCTTTCTCTTAAAAAAAAAAAAAAGAACTGACCATTTAACTGCCTTGGTGCTGGTGTCAGGCAGGGGCTCCTACATCATGAGGTCCAGGATGTGCTGAAAATCGAAACATTCTTTTCCTACAAGCATGGCCCCCACACCCACACTTAACCCGCCAAAAAAGGCAAGGAGGTCTACGCCTGAGATTCAAACTTGGATGTGGAGGCACAGTATTTTGCGAACTGAATGCAAACCCAAGGGTTACGAAAGGACAGGAAGCAGGAAGATCTAGCTATGTGAGGACAGAACTTAAGGAGGGAGGCATGACTTGATGGCAACACGAATGACAGCCACAGGAAGAGGTTGTGATTCTGGCTTAATAGGAATCAACTGAGAATTGTACCTGGGAAACCATCCACAGCTACCTGGGGTTCTATTAAAAGGGCACAGATTACAACACAGAGGAGGTGATGGTTCATACGCTGAGCAAGACAAACTGGAAGACGTTGAGGACTGGAACCCTGGTTACATCAGGGAGGGTGAGGTTCTATGCAGGTTTAGGTTCAAGGAGAAAGATTGGGGGGGGGGGTTGGCGGCTGCCACCTGCCGCTCAGAGGATCGCCACTTGGATGAGGCCACTCAAAGTGATGCAAGCAGGGGCTGGCTGTCACAGAGGGCACAGAAATACAGAAAGAAGGGGGCGGCCTCGGTGAGCCCTAACAATGAGCCTGATCCCACTGCTGTAGTCAGACTCAGGTTGGGTGGGAATCCCTGTCCTGCCGTCTGGGAGCCATGTGACTTTGGGCAGATCCCTGTGCATCTATGACACACTGGGCTTCACAAGGTCATCAGGGAGCTCCCACTGTGCGACAGGCAGGACACCCCACTCCTGCCTACACTCAGCAGCCGGGCTGACCAGCTCAACAACCGGGTCAGGTGTGAGACTGGGGAAGGGGCTGATATCCTGTGCCCTGCGGCAGCTCGCCCTGTGTCCTTGCCACGGGTGAGGGCAGTGGGCACAGCCCTATAGCAGAGGGATGCCTCTCTCCTCACACCCCCTGTAAGCCCCTCACAGCTGCCACATCCTCTCTGACGAACAAATGACAGCAGCTGTCCCTCGAGCGCGAGTCCACCCTGGATGGACTGTGGCTTTGGAAATATCTCCAACATTCAGGAGTTGAAGTGACTGAATGTTTTAACGAGACTCAGGGTCTTAAGAAACAACTGTGAAACTGGGCATTTGGGGGTTTTGTTTTATTAATCCCCGCCCACACACCTCCCATTCCCTGATGAACTTGCCCCAGACACTGCCAGCCCACAGGCATGCACCTTAGGGGTTTTGTGTCCCTCAAGGTTTCAGTGCTGTGAGCATCCTGCCCAACACCAACACCCTCAAATGTCCAAAATACAGGCCTTTTAGGGCCTGCACCATCTTTTCCATATACATCTGATGTGCTAATGACTGATGATTAGTCATCAAAGTTTCGAGCTCTCTGCAAACGACCTGGGTGTGAGGATGAGGACTTCAGACCCCTGGGTGCACACAGGTGCCAAAGATGGGAGAGAAGTTGGTAAAAGCCCTTAGAGCTCTGCCTACACTGTCTGCACGTTAAGTGACATTAAAACTTACTTTTTTTTCCAAGTGAGAAAGAAGGGCACAGATGTCAAGCAGAATGTGAGGGCACAGAGCAAAAAGGAATCCCCACATGTTCACGGTTTTCTTCTAGAATCGTTCTATCCATAGGAAATAGATGTGTGCTCATTTTTTGTTCTAAATAACACTTTATTATTCTGTAAAGACTTTGAGAGAGAAAGAGAGCGCCCGTGCCCGCGTGTGTATGTGCAAGCAAGGGGAGCAACAGAGGGAGGCAGAAGCAGGCTTCCCCCTGAGCAGGGAGCCCAACACAGGGCTTGATCCCAGGACCCCAGGGTCATGACCTAAGCCCAAGGCAGACGCTCAACCTGCTAAGTGCCCCAGGCGCCCCCTAAACAACACCTTTAGGAAATAATCTGTATTTCCAAGTGGCCTTTCTCCAACTAGCTCTCCTTTAGCTCCCGAGGGAACGCCAGGCAGGACTGGATTGAGGCCTGCCCCATAATGCACCTGCAGATAGGACCACTTATGTCCGCAGTGATGCTGGGCCTTCTTCCTTGAACAGCTGTGGCAAGAAAGGTCAGCCTGGCCCAGGACACCGTGGTGGCCCAGCACCGGGGAGTGTCCTGCAAGCCCCACCACATGTGCAAGGCTACTGGTTCTCCACGCCCTTTGCACACACTCACCTCGTTAATGATGATCCTGCTGGCCATCCGCAGTCGGGTCCTGGGACCAAACTTATTGGTGATCATCACGCGTAAGCCTGCCTCCGGGAAGCTGAACTTGGGAGGGCTGGAGCTCATGACCTCGTCCACCATCACCACTGGGTTCTTGCTGTACTGCGGCTCCTCCTTCACTGTATCGAACACAAGGCCACAGTTAGTGGCCCTCCTGGACAACATCCTCCTGGACAACATCCTCCTGGACAACACCCTCCTGGACAACACCCCAGCACTGGGCCAACGCACCTCTCCGCATACCGCAGGCCTCCTCGGCTGGGGTCTGGGCAGCTGCTAGGGAGCCCAAATCAGTCCCAGAAGACCCCTACTGATGCTGGGGTGAGAGCCGAGGCCCGGGGTCCCGGGCTGGGACCACCCACCAGCACACACTCTGCATGTAGCCCTCCAGTGGACGGGTGCCCCTCTTGCTGAGCCCATCCTGACTCAGCTCCTCGTCCTCACCTCCCAGGAAAGCCTGGCTAAAATTCACATAGGGCCCCTGCTGCCTCCCTGCCCATGGTTGTGAGGGGCCCCTTCTTTCCGTCTGCTGGCGGAGGCTCAGACAAGGGCCCTCAGGGATGGAAAGCGCTAGAAAGCACCAGCCGGCGCTGGCTCCCAACTTCCCAGAAGGCCATCCGCTCTGTTTGAACTACCATCTCCACCTGGCAGGGGAGGATGCCTCCAGCCCTCCCTGAGGTGGCAGTGAGGGCAGACCTGCGGCTCACAGGCCCTGGACAAGACCAGGGACCCCAGAGGATAGCCTGCTTGCTGAGGGCGTGCAGCCAGCTGCTGGCCGAATCTGGCATCTCCGGTAAGACACACACCCTCAGGCAGGGAGGCTGCTCTCTCCGGCCCTTCACTTTCCTCTCACAAGGCTGAGGAGTCAATGTCTCCAGATCTCAGTCCCCTTCACAGCCTTCACAGCCTCGCTCAGGGCCAGCATCCCGGGGCATCTAGGTCAGGAGCCCCAGGGGGCAGTGAGGGAAACCACTGCGGAGCACAGCCCACCGAGGCAGGTGGAGCCTTCCTGTCCAGGGGCCGTCAGAGCAGACAGTCCCGCCCCCAACCCCTTCACATGGGTCCTGGTCAGGGGTCTTCCCGGGCAGGAGTGGTCAAGAGCAAACCCTTACACGAGTTAACAGCACCCACACGAACGAACGCACACCAGAAACCACACCCTCACCAGACAGGCAGCAAGGCTCAGCAGACAGGAGGTGTGGGGTTAGAGAAGCCGGGAGGACTGTGCAGGTGTCAGAGGCAGATGCCCACCGCCCCGAGAAGATGTGGCGTGGAGGTCCTGGGTTGGCTTTGTGATGCAGGTGTTACCGCTCCAAGGAAGGCAGATTACTTACAATTTAGAAGAGAAGAGTTAAGGAGACAAAGGCCAACAGAGGTTTGCCAGAGGGGATTAGCTTGCGGTGGACGCTGAGGGCCAGGGCCACCTTCTCTGGGTGGCCAAGGTGCCGGGGGTTATTGGAAGAAGGAGTTAGTAGACGGCCTCCTGCCACAGGGGCTCCAACACTCAGGGCCCCAGCCATGGGGACGGCCCCTCTCCTGGCCAGTTTCCACGGCTCTGTCCCTTTGGGAGGCACAGGACCGCTGGGCCCCCCTCGCCACTGCGGGCCAGAACCCCTCCCTCCCGGGTGCCTCCGTCTCCAAGGGGGGTGGACAGCAGAGACCCAGCTGCAGGCTCCAGGCTCCATCCAGGCCACAGGGCCAGCCCCGACACGGGGGCCCGGGGGAACATGGGAAGCCTGGGGGCCCTGGTCGCTGAAGCAAAAGCCTCGATAACTGCTGCCCGGGGGCCTCTTGTCCTGGTGCTGTCACCATGTGGCAGCATAACGTGCCTCGGCCAAGCCATGGGCGGCTGCCCAGAGAGAAACCCCCTTTGGACTGTTTCTCTGGCGCTTCACTCAGCCCCAGCCCCGGGGGGGCCGCCTCCTTCCTCCCGGCTCCAAGCCAAAGATGTGCCCAGGCTGGGGAAGCCTGGCCGCGTGCTTCAGCGGCCCTGGCTGTCAGACCATGTGCAGGCCACCTGACAATGATGCTGGATTCCCAGCAGCTGTGGGAGCCCCAGAGGAGGGGGTGCCTTCCTCTGTCCCACAGACCTTCCCTTGGTACATCAGCTCATCTGCTGTCCCGAGCAGAATTGAGGCGTGATGCGAAAAATGTGTAAGGTTTTAGAAAAACCCAAACATCTAAATGAAGGACAAAGTTTCGGGATGTTATTTCCCATCCCCTCTTCTAAAAAAAAAAAAAAAAAAAAAAAAAAAAAAAAAAAGAGGAGAGAAAACTGGCAAGAATTTGGTAAAAAGGACCACATGACCTTTGAAGAGCACAGAGGTGCAAGAGGGCGTTTTACAGAGCGGTCGTCATGAGGCCAAGAACCTGTGACGGGGTCAGGGTATTTAGATTTGATACGGGAAACATCCCAAAGGCAGTAACAGGAAAGCCAGAGCTGTGTGGGGTCCGTGGGCCTGCGACAGTCCAGGGCTGCAACCTTGGGATCCCTGGGTGGGGGCAGGCGGGGCCCACTGCAGGCTGAGTACGGGGAGGGGAGCTCTGGGCCACAAGGATTCACAAGGAGCCCACTGGAAAGGGCAAACTGCTGAGGCCCCCTTTGTCCATCCCTGCAGGGCTCCTGCCTAAGTCTCCCTGGGGGACAGCGCCCCACAATGACATAGCCTGGGGCCTCCTACCTCTCCCCTGCAGGCCTACACTGTGATCCCCCTGCCTTGGCTGGCGACGGGCCAGGACCCAAGGCTGCACTGGTGAGAGGGGGCTTCCCCCGCGGCCACACAGGCGGGGATCTCTCTCGGGGCACCCGAGGAACTGGGCTTTTCCTGCTGGCTGAATGACCTCCACCTGGACCTTTCTTCTCCAGGAAGGCCCCCGGGCTCGGGAGCACCAGTCTCCACCTACAAGCCCAGCAGGAATTGGCCTCTGTCCTGAGAAACCATGTGTGGGGACCTCAGCCCCGTATCTGTGGAGCCATTGTGCAGACCAGCAGCCCCTAGGCCCCTCCCCTGGGGCGCTGTCCTGGATGCAGCCTGGGCTCTCCGGGCCTCCCTTCTCCGAGCATCCGCACGGGCCCCTGGCAGCCGGGCCGCAACAGGTCAGCACCGCATGCCAAGGGTTTCCTCCTCCTCCTCCCTACGGGGGAATACTTCCTCCCTCTAGCACCTGCTACAGATTCCTCCCTCAGGGGTTCCTGAGATTGGACAGAACAAAGTTGCCTGACGTCCTGGGGAAGGAGCCCCAGCCTCGATCACTGTAGGGGGAAGACTAGTGAGGGGCCGGGAGGGTGGACTTGGCTCCCGCGTGTCCCAGACACAGGCAAAGGGGCCTGTCAGACACAATGAAGGAGTCAAAGTCACCTTGGGGGAGACGCGGCTCGCCCAGGACGCTTGGGTGGCATGGCTCCAGTCACACTGGTGAAGCCAGCCTCATCCTTTTTCCCATGACCGTCATTACAGGAAACTCTTCAAGCCATGACATTCACTGGGGGCCTGGCGGGAAGCACAGGAAGGCCCTTGTCCTGCTGGTGGCTGCCCCACAGGGGGAACCACTTAGTAACCGGGGACTGGGGCATGCTTTCTAAAGCAGCAGCCAGCCAGTTCAAGGAGGCTGTGGGGGACATGGCAGGAGGCCCAGAGCCTCAGGAAGCGGCTAAAGGGATGTCGCAGACACGAGGTTCCTGAGCAGGGCCCTCTGGGGCTGGGCCCGCCTGCTCAGCCCTGCGGCCGCCCTCCCAGACCTTTGCTGCCCCTCCGGCCGATGGGCCAGGGGTCTTCCCAAGAATGGGGGCCTCCACCAGGATGGGACTGGTGCATGAGACGTCACAGGGAGGCCTGCTCCCTCTCTGCCTCCCCAGTCTTCCAAGCCTCCTGCCCCCTGCCAGGTACATGGGTCAGAGAGCTCATTCACTGCATTTCAGGAAAGCCCATGGGCCGGGGGCCTCCCTCTGGATGCTGGGGCAAGTCCCTGGGCAACACTGTTGGCCCTCCTCATCCTTGTCCCTCCTATGCAAACACAAATCTGAGCCTCCTCTTGTGTAGGGCCCAGGGATGGCAGGTGAGAGTGAGGACGTGGGGTACTGTGGGCCCTCCTGTCTGCTCAGCCTTACCTGGCCCCAGCAATGGCACGGAGGGGTCATCAGAGCTACTATCACAGTAATCATTACCATCCTCCAGCTCACTGTTGACCGTGTTGCCGTTTGCAACAGTCTTTTGTTTGATGGTGAAAAAGGCCTGCATCTTCACGTTGTACCTGGAAGTCAAGGCAGGGGGTCAGCGTGGTGGTCGACAGCCGGCGGGTCAAGTGGGGCTGCTCCCCCCGGAGCACACGGTCAGAGGCCCCAGGGTGGCCCGTGGCAGCAGGTGTAGGCGAGAGCTCTTAGCTGAGCTGCCGGCTCCAACAGGACCCCAGGAGGAGGTGGGGTCCCGAGCCCTGCGCCCTGAGTTGCTCATGGCTTCCCTGGGGCAGAAGGATCCTCTGGTCTAGGAGCCTGACTGGCACCTCCTTACGCGTGTCCCAAGCCTGCCCTAATACAAGTTCAGGCCAGCGGCAAGGACGGGCTCAGGGAGGGTCACAGGCTGCTCCCTCCCCTCCAGCAGGAAGGGAGTTCCTGCGCTGAGGGCTGCCCGGGTGGGCCAGGCAAGCACTGCTCTGCTCGCAGCCAGGTGCTTGCCCTGACAGGCACTCGGGGAGCGAGAGGTCCTGTGAGGACAAGCTCCTGCACTGGGACAGCCGGTCACTCATTTGCACATGACACTGTACATGTCGGACGTTGATGCGGGGATTCAGAGTCTCCTACAACACAATCTCTCCTAAAACTCGGGGTTGTTTTTAATTCTTGCTGGCGGTGCGAACAGGATGGCAAAACCTGAAGAAGACCAGCTCATGGGAGTCCCCTCTCCCTTAGTTTTTAAACGTGGAAACACTTTTTTGGTATAAAATTTACTATTTTAGCTGCTTTCCATTCTCAAGGGAATAATTCCTGGCAGTGACTGCAGGCACAGAGTGCTGGGGGCCATCGGGTGAGGACTTCCAGAAGCAGTTCAGCGACCCAAGAAGCTCTGTGCCGGAAGTTGACTAAGCCATAGTCCGCCCTCCCCACGCCCTGGCTCATCTCTGTCTCTGGACCTCCTGGGTCCCTTGCCCACGTGGAATCATAAAAGCTTTGTTCTTTGGTGTCTGACTCCCTTCGCTCAGTGTGTTTTCGAGGTCCGTCCATGTTGCAGCACAGGACAGAATCCCTTTCTCTTTTTATGGCTGAATAATATTCCTCAGGGCAGGTCTAAGGTCAGTGTGGCCCCGGCAGCCTCCGAGGAGCTGCGAGGGGGCTGACCCAGGCCTTCACCGTCGTTCCACCAGGTGGAGGCCCCCACGGGTATACATGGTGGCAGCCCCAGCCGGTGACACCGTATGGAAGCTTGGAGCAGACGCAAGGCAGCCTGGCTCTTTGAGAAGAGCAGTATCACCTTATCAGGGGATGTACGGCGAAGGTGACACGGAGCGGTCACCTGGGGTGGGGAGGCACGGCCTGGACCACAGAAGGACAGATGCCATGCTTGCTCCCGGTCTTGGAGCAACTGCATCCTGCAGCCTCCGGCCCTGATGCCCCCAGCCCAGGTGGGGACGGCACCCCCTTGCAGTGTGGGAAGGCCCCGGAGGGAGCCCCCCAGGGCTGGGGCACCAACGGAGGCTGGAGAGGAAGTGGAACAAGGTGGCAGTGTGCCCAGTGGGAGGAGAGAAGAGATACTCACTTCATGATCAGAATGTAAAACACGTATAAGACGATGAGCACCAGTCCTTCCCACCTCGGAGAGAAAGGAGATGGTAGTCAGGGCGTGGGTGCGGTCCCAGGGTGACGGGGGGTAGGGGCAAGGTGGAGCGACAGGAGATCCTGCTTCCCTCCCCACCCAAGATCCGGGCATGCGAGGGTCCCCCAGCCTGAGGCCATCCTGCCATCTGAAGCCCTCGTGGGGACATAGAGGGCTGGGGGGGGGGTTCCTCTCAGCTCCAGGACGTCTGCAGGGCTCAGGCAGCGTCCCCCAGCTACCTAGACGACAGAGGGACCAGGCCACCTCGTCCCAGGACCTGCAGAGGGGAGGGGCCTGTAGTCATGCAACTTGATCCTAAGAGACCCTCTGGCCAGGGACTGGAAAGGCTGTGGGGACAGGTGGGATGGGCCCTGAGCTGCCTAGAGAGGAGCCTCCGGGCTGGGCCTCCCTGGGATGCGCCTCACTGTGCCCCACCCACAGGGGTCTGCGGAGCACACGCTCAATGTGTTTGGTGCTCTGACAAACATGGACCTGAGGCCCACTATGTGCTGGGTCTCAGGAACTCCCTCTGTGCTGACTACCTTGCTGCCGCCACCCCCAACTCCATCGGAGAAAAGGAGCCCTCCCCCTGGGTGGCGCGCAGCTGCCTGGCCCATGTGGAGGGTCAGGGGCCAGGCAGGGGCCCACAGCACCTGGGCTGCTCAAGGCCTCGGTGAGGCCTCCCCAGCACGTTCCCAGGAACAGACGCCTATGGGATGCTGGCCCCAAGTCCCTGTCACGAGGGGAACATTTCTGTGGCTGATGGATGGTCCATCCACACCCTAGATGGCGCCTGCACCAATCTCTCCTTTAACGTGTCTGTGTTATGCATCTGAGTGAAGGAATCACTTCCCACCTCAATGTCATGAAGGGCAGTCCCTACATTTCATTCTGCTTAACTTTGCTATGGGACACTGAGATCTTTAGTGCTTTTTTAAAGAAAATATTTCAATGATTTGAGAGAACAAGCATGAGAGTGGAGCAGAAGGAGAGGGGCATGCAGAGTCCCCGCTGAGCAGGGAGCCTGACCTGGGGCTCAACCCCAGGACCCCAGGATCAGGACCTGAGCTGAAGGCAGATGCTCCACTGACTGAGGCCCCAGGCATCTACAGTGAGATCTTTAATTCATCTGCACTCCCTTCTGGTATACAGTGTGAGGAAGGGATCAGACACTAATCCGGTCTGTAGAGGTCCCTAGGGACCCCTGTCTGAGACCCTCTCCCCAACTCACTGCCTGGCATGACACCGGTCACATCCCCTGGTCAAGAAATGGGCCCATGGTCGGGCCTCTATCTAACCCGATGGAAAATGTACTGTTTTCATTATCTTAGCTTCGCAATACATTTTGTTGTTTAGAGAGCAGGAGCACTGAGGAAACCATCTGTGCCACTCAGAAACAATGAAGGCATGACTGCTTAGAATGATGCCTCTGTACGCTCACGCGTTCATAAGCTCACGTTTGTCAAAAATGGTCTCAAAAAAGACTAAATACCACCCAGTGAGGAAGGACAGGAACTGAAAAGGAACAAAAAACAAATGTGTGAGACTTACCACACAATTTCTTCATCGTATATGAACTGGAAAGAAAAAGGAACAAAGGGTGGGGGACCGATTGAACCCAAGAGAAACACACAGACCCTTGAAGCCCCCAGAGCTCACACTCCCTGCCCTGCGGTTTCCACACAAGGCCAGGGTCCTCTGTCCAGGTCCGGGTTCCTTGGCTGCAGGTGACCTTTCCTTCGTCAGAACCCATCCCTGCAGGTGCTACAGCCGTGGCTCCAGCTCCGTGTGCGCCTCCCAGGGACCCAGCCCTCACTGTGGCCCGTGTAGTGTGTGGGGCCAGCCGGGCAGGGCTCCCCCACCGTGAGTCAGGGAACAGACTTGCTGAAATCAACACTGTCAGCAACTGAAAAGCGTCCCATCTGCCTGTGTCCCTACGCACCTGCCTACCTACCCACCTGTGGTCCCTGTGCATAAGGGAGGGAGAAGAATGATTAAATAGAAGGTAACCCCTTAGGAGATTCTCAAGGGCAAAGGACCCACTTGCAGCATCTGAAGGGAGGCCAGGGCTGATGTGGGTTCACCAGGGTTTCTGCAGGGGGCCCCAACTTGGTCCCACAACCACACCTCACATCCCTGGCACAGACGCCATCCTCGACTGATGCCCCTGTGGACCCAGGGGGGAATCCTGGGGCCACCCCAGCCAGGCCCTCTGCATGTGGAAAGATGGAAGGGCTGTATCCCCCCACTATGCTGGAGACTAAGCGGCCCTGCTGTGCCTGTCTGCTGGCCACCACAGTGAGCAGCGCACAGGAGCTGCTGCGGGGGGCCATCCTGGCCAGGCACGGCTGTGAGGCTCCCCAGACTCCAGGCTCTGAGGAAGGTGCCCACAATAGAGCGGCACCTAGTGCCTGCCCCCCATCCCCGGCCCCAGGGAACTTGAGGACATCTACAGGGGATATTTTAGTTTTTATGACCCAGTGGAGGGCTGCCAGCATTGAGAGGCAGCCAAGGCCAGGCACTGACCACCTGGCGCACGTGAGCTCCTTGTATCAGGAGAGTTTGTCCACATTGGACACACGTCTTATTTACATGTCTTGTTAAACATTCAGGCAAGTGGGGCAGGGAGGGGAGGGAAGGCCTGGGCCCAGAACTTAACCCCATTTTATAAATCAAAGTACTTTTATGTGGTTTTAGTATATATTTAATTTCCTAGAGAGGCAGCTCTCATGGGAATCGAAGGACAACTGTACGTGGCTCTGCCTGGGATTTTATCAGGAGGGTTTCCTAACTCTGGAAAATCACGTCATCCACGTTGGCCCCATTCATGGGGCCCAAGGTGCCCGCAGCATCTGGCCTCAGTGTGTGTGAGTAGTTTTAGGGCTCAGAGATCTTCTATACAGGGGGCAACACATGACACCAGCTGGTGGTGTAGCATCTTTGTGCAAAAACTTACACGCTGAAAGGTGTGTCCCCTTACATAAATTATCTTGGTCTTTGGTAGTTTGGGCACCATGTTGATTTTTTTAATTTTGGAAACTGTACAGGTAACTTATCTCATATGTAACTTTCATTTTTGGGGTTGAGGTAGGCCGGGGCCCCAGTGGTCTCCCATAGTCCCGGTCTGACATCACACCACTGCCCCCAGACCTAGGAACTGGATCCTAACACACAGAAGATGGCAAAAGTGATGGGTCATCGCCTCTGAGATGAGGTCACAGATTACAGACTGTGGCTTCCATGCTGGTACCTCCTCACCCTCACTCTCAGGGAAGTCGGTTGGTGTGGTGTGTGTGGCATGGCTGGGCAGCCAGCCAGGAAGGGTCCAGAGGCCCATCGGCAGCCACACGAGGGATCCCAAAAGGGGGTCCTCACCCAAGGGGGCCTAGGAGCCCGGCCAACGTGCATGAGAGACCCTGAAGCAGAGGCCCAAGTAAGCCACCCCCAAGGTTCTGATCCGCAAACAAGAGTGACAAAGGCTCGCTATTCTAAGCCACTGGGGGATACTTGTTATACAGCAATAGATGGGATACAAGGGATGGGACTGTCCTATATGGCTGGCTCTAGGTCTTGCCAGTCTGAGAACGGGCCCTCTGGGGCACATCCCAGAAATCTGGGCACACCTTGTGTACCTGCCCGGTGAGGCCTTCCTCATGCCACCTCTTGGACTGAATGCCCCCCAGGGATGGCATGGCGCTCAGCTCAGCAGTAGCCTGGTCAGTTGCTTCCATGTCACGGCCATGAGGTCACCCTGGCCCTGGGGGGACGGGGATAAGCCCCCTCACCTCCCCCACTAACAGACCCAGCCCTTCTGACTCTCACCCTGTCCCCCGGCTGCCCACTTGGACACCATGTCAGCTTCTCTTTTCTGCTCTGCACTTAGCTGTAAATCCAGAAACTGTGATCCTTGGGAAAAGGGCTTTAAGTGAAGCCCTGAGAGCGCCCGACAAGCAAAGTGCTTGCACATGACCGTGTGGACCACATGACACGTGCTTTGCCTTCTCCATTTGCAGGGGTCCCTGGATTTGCTCCATAACCGGGGTGTTAGCACAAGGAGACACGGTGGTGAGGGGACTGGTCAACGTGACTGCATGGTGCAGTCAGCACACCCCGTGGTCGGGGTGCTGTGGGTTCTCTGGTCACAGTGCTGGGGACGGGGATGGGCAGGGGTCCGTGCCCACACCCAGGTCGGGGGGTAACTCACAGCAATGAGCACGATGACAGAGAGAGTGTAGTACACGGAGTCCCGGCACACGGCCCACCATGTCAGACGGACCACCTGCCGAATGAAGGGCTGTCAGCTGCTGCTGGCTGGGGACACAGAGGTGCCAGTATGGGGTGGCCTTCTCACCGCCCCCGGCCCCTACGGGAGCCGGGACGTGTCCATGGAGCTCCTCCTAACTGCACCAGGAACAAACCCCCCGGGGCTGCTCAAGGCTACCCTGTGATCTTCGCTGTATTTGGGGAAGCAGGGACATCTGCAGGTGACACAGAGCTGCCCCTGCTCCTCCGTGGTCACAGCATCTCATGTCTCTAGCAGAAACCCAGGGTCAAGGCCATAGGCACCTGCTTCCCGCTCTGATGCGGGAACCTTCTGGTGGCAGGCAAGCGGCCCACCTTGGCCATGTAGGGGCTGCCCATATGCCTGACTTCTCGGTGATCGAGACTAATGCCCCCGTGGCCCTGAGGACCTGGAAGATGCTGGCGTGTCAGCCATAGGCAGCTCCATGCTCCTTGCTAAGCAGACCAAATGCAGGCCTCACACGTGTCCAGGATCTAGCTCGGGGTCAGGGTTCAAGGAGGTACCTCTCCAGTACCTACTGCTGCTGAGCAGAAGCCCACCCTCAGACAGAGCAGACACCAGCCCTGCCCTCGGACCCCCGACGCTGGACACAGGAGCAGCCCCAGACATGCTCGTAGCCACGTGGACCCAGGTTCACAGAGGGAGCCTCGGTCAGTTAGGGGTGCAGGCAAGGGAGGCCCCGGGTCCCCCCACTGCTGACCCCCACATCCCCCCATGAGGGGAGGAAAGCCGCTGACCTGCCCCGCGAATAATCCACACACGCCGATTATACACAGGATGTTGAACACAGCAGAGCCCACAATGGTCCCGACCCCGACGTCTCCATGGGTGATGAACACACCTGCAACAGGAAAGGCAGGAATCGTCCTGTGCCTGCTCTGCCTCAGACCTGGGCTGCTGTGAGGCCTACATTTCCATGCCTGCGGGGACCAGCTGCTCCACGCCTCCCGTTTCCTAACGCTTCACTGAGTGGTGCTCCACCTGCCATGAAACTCGCCCTCATCAACGACATAAGCCAGGGTTTCGGCACAGCCACAGCTTTGTGCGTGGTTGCCGCAATCCCACTTGAGGACGTTTTTATCACTTATCACCGTGTGCCACCCGCTCTTGGGTGCACCACATGCGGCAGGGAACCATGGATTCACTTTCTGTCCCCAGCCCTCCCTTTACCTGTGAGAACATGGGGACTGGTGGCAAACCTGGGCTCTCCCTGGACCTCTGCAGCCCCAGCCGGTGGGATTTCTTACCAATAACAGAGGCGAAGAGCTCGGGTGTCGAGCTTCCTGCAGCCATGAAGGTGGCTCCGGCCACATCTTCACTCAGATGGAGTTTCTGGAACAGAAGGGACCTCAGGCACTCAGGCTGTGACGGGGGGACACCCGGTAGCCAGTGTCCCCTCCCTGTGCCAAGCACAGGCCTCTGGCCACTCCATGGGCCGCTCAGCCTGAGTCCCCTGTCCACCTCCCCCACCCCAGTCCCCTCTGCTCAGCCTCCATGCCCCTGAGGTCACCTTTCTAGGAGGGGAGCCGGCTGTCCCCCCTGGGACAAGTGTGAGAGCTTGGCCCCCAGTGACCCCAACACAAGTCTGAGGACCATCCTATTGCCTCCCCATGGGATGACGGGTACACGGCTGGTCCTTTTCACCCTGGACAGTCGGCCTCAGAGTCTGGTCCGCAGCAGTGCTGGGTGGGGGCCGCCACCACTGTCCACGTGGACCGTGGGTGCCATGTACACTCCCACACAAACGGGCAGCAGGACGTCCCCCCACTCAGGGTGGCTCTTGTGTTCTGGAAGGCCTTGTGCATGGAGGCCTGAGGGCTGGAGGCCCACGGAGACAAGGACCCAGATGCCCAGTCCCTGGGCATGAGGCAGCTTGAGGGATGCTCGGCAAGGCCATGCTCCGGCCGCAGAGGCCTGTCCTTGCATCAGGAACGTAGCGCTGGGGGCCTTGGATGCTGGAGGAACCACAGACATTCTGGGTCTCCCCGAGTGGCAGCCTGCACATGCCCACACCGTGAAACGCAAAGGCCTCCGGACAGGGCTCGGCCTCCCTGGGCCCCAGGCAGCCCGGGGTGAGCACAGCCTCCCTGCTGACTCTGCTTTGAGGGGTCCCTCCAAGGGGTTGGAGCTCCAGGCTTCTGTCAAGCACGGACCCCCACCTCACCTTACAGGAGATGCCGCACCATCGAAGCATCTGCATCACCTTCCAGCAGAACACATCCAGCTGTGTCCTGTCCTGCCCTTGCCGGGGCCATTCCTTCCTCCTGGAATGCCCTTCCTTGCCCTCCTTGTGTGGAGAAATCCTTTCCACTTCAGAAGTTTGGACCAAATACCACCTTCTCCATGAAGCCCTCCTAGGCTTCTCCCCAGCAGACATTCTGTCCCTCTTCTTGGCCCTTCAGTCCTTTAATGGCTTTTATGGATTCCCTCATACTGGATTTGCCCTTAGTGCTACAGGACCATCCCCCTCGCCCACCTCTGTGTCCTCACGGACACAGGTGACCTATAGGGCACATTCACTGGGGGTTGTCCTGTGCCGCCGGTCACCCATCTTCCACAGGCCTGAGTCACCCCCAGAAGGGCAGGGTGCCCAACCCCCTGGCTGCGGTCCCCCCAGGTTCTCATGTCAGCGCATGACCCCAGGGCACGACCTGTAAGGTCCAGCTGACTGTGATTTTCCCGGGGGCTGCCTCTGCTCACCCTCAGAATGCTGCTCCAGGGCGCTGAGGGGGCGCCTCCTGCCCCAACATCCCGAGAGGCCATTTCCTGATCCTCTCCTCATGCTCCTTCTCTGGCTTAACATGTTCCCTGACCCACAGCCTGGTCAGGGTGGGGGGTGGACGGGTGAGCAAGGGGCAGCCGGGGGGAGGCCTCCACACACCCTCTGTGCCATGTACTTGCTCTTCAGAAGCCCAGGTCAGAAAGTCCCGGTTCTGGGCTCAGCAGCAGGGAAGCATCTGTCCTCAGAAGCCGCTGCAGGTGTCACTGCAACACGGCCTGGGGCAGCATGGAGACGTCACAGGGACAGAGCTGCCTGCACGCAGTAGGTACAGTTTTCCTTCCTCAGCCCGAAGCCGAGCGTGAGGCAGAGCAAGGAGGGGAGGGTTGTTTGGCTTTTTTTACTTTTTTTTTTTTTTAAGATTTTGTTTTTAAGTCACCTCTAATGTACGTGGGCTCTAGCCCACAGCCCCGAGACCAAGAGTGACACGCTGTCCCCACCAAGCCGGCCAGCACCAGCCCCAGAGCCTCGGATGTGAGGACACAGCAGAGTCCAACGCTCACAGGGCAATTCAAAGGAAAACACGTCAGCCTGCGGATGTCGAGCAAAGAGCAGTGCTCACTCGGCACGTGCATCCTCCCCCAGCACACATCCCCCCGCATGGGCTGCTGCTGCGTCTGCACGGGTGTGGCTTCACTGGGACAGCCTGCTATGCAGAGGGGCCCGGGTCACTATGAGTGGGGCCTTTCCTTTGCCACACGGTAGGGGGAGGGGGGCTGCAGCTCTACTGGGGGGGGGTTTCCAGGCTTCCCTGCGGTCTCGCCGCCCGGCCTGGCACCACCGTGCCCTTGTCCTGATCGCCTGATCGCCCTGGCACCCGCCCTGCCCAGCATGCTCTGCGTACCTCACAGATCTTCTCTAGAGACGGCACAAAAAAGTCATCGCACACTATGGCCAAGGCGTAGAACATGTACAGAGCCTGCAGAGGAAACGGAAGATTGTGAGCAAAGGCACCTGCTGCTAGGCGGCCGCCATGCCCCACACCTGGGGCCTCACGGACAGAGACACGCTGAGGAAGGTTCTAGTGCCACAGAGACATGCTCCCTCAGCGCCCTTACTAGCAGATGGGGAAACTGAGTCCCAGGGAGGGGACAGGACGTGCCGGCAGCACAGGGGGAAGAGAACTCAGGCCGCAGGGTCTAGGGTTCCTTCCTTGCATCTCTATGCAGCAGCGGTCTTCCGGCCCCAGAGGGTGCTCTCCAGGGGCAACGGTGGCCCTCAGGGCCGAGGGGGAGCATGTGGAATCAGCACCACAGGCCTGAAGTAACGAGCCCGACCTTACCCCCTCACCTTCACTGGGGGCGCATTTCCTTCCTACCGACGGCCACCCTGCCTGGAGCCAATGGCCGCTAGGAGGGCCCACAGGTCCCAGGCTGCCACCATGTTGGCAGAGGTCAGGGTATAGCGGCTGCCCTCGCGGGGGCTCCAGAAACAAACCCAGACTCCAGTGTGACTCGGGAATTTGTTTGCCACACGTTATGCAACCAGGTCTCAGGCTCTTCATCTGCTTGGTGACCCAGTAAGAGCAGATTGATAGTTTTCAAACGGTTTTACAGACAGACCCCATTGTGTCCTGTGCATCCAACATGGCTTCCCTGAGCTCATCTGACGGGCCAGGAGCCATCCTAGGCATCATGGATACATGGCTACCTTGCCAGGAAATGCCTCTGCCTCCCGTAATTGACCTTAGTGGGACAAATAGGCAAAAATAAAGTATAACTGTTGGGAAAAGGCAAGTGCAAAGGTCCTGAGGTAGGCATATGCTTGATGTACATGAGAAGAACATGGTCAACAAGGCAGGTTGGAGCAGAGTGGGACGGAAGTGGAAAACAGAGGAGGTGAGGTTGCAGGGACCAGGCCCCGTGGACAGGAGGCGAGGGGAACTTTGTGCTAAACGCCAAGGGAAGCATTCCTATCTTCAAAGACAAGGTGACATGGACACTGTTCACAAGAATGGACAAGGCTGGGCTGCTTCAAGAAAAACAACTGTGAAGTGGTGGGAAGGGCACATGAATTAGTGGTGACCGCATCACCTGGGAGCTGCACCAGCTGTGGCCACGGCCTCTGAGGCAGTGGGGGGCACTGCAGTCCCCCCGGGCCCTGGGTCCAACTCGCTGTCTTGGGGGCGGGACCAACACCAGGGATCACGGGCCAAGGAGACAGCACAGGAGACAGAGCCCGTGATGGGCATCTCAAGGATGCAGACTTGGGTTCTCACCCCAGAAATGCCCCGATGCCATCTCCCAGGTGGAGGGACATCTGCGAGGCCGCGGCTCCCTGAAACCCTGGACACACCTCAGAAAACAGGCCAGGATGGCCCCGCGCTCGGAGCCAGGCAGCTCCATGGGCCTCCCAGGGCTGCACATAGGAACCTGCTGCCAGGCCTAGGCCTTGGCTTGCTCTTAAAGAACAGGGTCAGGGGTGCTCAAGGTGTGACCCCGGGGTCCTAGGATCGAGTCCCACATCGGGGTCCCCGCAGGGAGCCTGCTTCTCCCTCAACCAGTGTCTCTGCCTCTCTCTGTGTGTCTCTCATGGATAAATACATTTAAGAAAAGGGGGGAGGGTCAGTAAAGCTGTTCTGAATGATCGGAAAGTACATATTTCAGTGTCCACCAGTCGGTCACACGGGCCCTGTTGCGAGGGCTCTGCTGCTGGACGAGGGATTGTAGCGCGTGGCTGAGTGCCAATAAGACTTTACTTATAAGCCTGGGGAGGTGGGCTAGATGGGCCCCTGTGGCCATAGGTCGGCTACAGTTCCTGCACAACTCCCGAGGGACTCTCAGGTTCCGGACACGAGGTCTCATCTTAGTGACGCCACAACTCTGAAGTGGGAGCAGCAGAAGGGGGGTCCCAACCCGCCACACCCATGGCCTCTTACTGAAAGAGGAGTGCAAGGGAAAGCCAGCAATGCCAGGAAGACCAGCCCCTCCGCTGGGATGCAGGGGCCTGTCACCCGGGGTTGGCCCACCATCTTCACTTCGTCAGTGGTTTATCATGTTCGTGGCAACCTCACTCATTGCTCATCCTCAGGAGACCACCACCTCCGCCACGGGCCCAGCTTTGGCTTTCTGATTCTCTGTTGCGGAGACTAACCCCAGCAGGGCTCTCGAGGGGCCGGAGGGGCCAGGCGGTTGGAGACCCTGATCCGAGGGCGATTCGCTGTGTCCCCAGTAGACAAGCAAATCGTGAGCACTTCCACCTCTGCACACGACACCACAGGGCTGGCGAATGTCTTCCGCCCAGGGACAGGTGGGACATGGTATTGGGTTTGTGGATCACATGACCTGTGTTAGGCCTACTCTGATGGAAGCATGATGACGCAGAGACGCTGGGAATGGCTGCGTTCCCATAAAGCTTTATTGGTAAAGACCAGGCAGTGGCTTCAGGCTCAGTTTGCTGGCGAGGACTTCTACCCGTGATTCAGGTTTGGACCTGCGACTCCTTTTTGAATTGTTATCTGGGCCCCACTTCCACCATCAAGGCTCACCCAGGGACACGGGGAAGCCCAAGAAGCAGTGCACCACAGTTAAGGTAGAGGCATGTCATGGTGCTGAGACGTGGCAGTGGCGGCATCATGGGAATCACGACAGTGAGCGTGCACAGAGCCCTTCTCTCGGGCTGTGCAACACCTGGCGTGCTTTGTTCATGCTCTCGCGTGTTCACACTCGGGGAAGATGCCGTCTGCTTCACAAAAGCAGAAGATGAGGCACAAGGAGATCTGAGACCTTGTCTCGGCTCTGGGGTGATTAGCCATGCAACGCTGAGAACGTCCTCCAACACCTAGGATTCTGGTTTTTTTGGGGCCTTTTTGTGGTTAAAATGGGCCCTGTACTGGCCCTCCTAGGTCCTCCCCTACAAAGATGGCACAGCTTTGTCATGTTGCGGCCCCTGCCGGCAGCTTGGGGTCACCCCACCCACCAGGCCCACTTACACCGAGGATATGCAGCAGGACAGCTCCATGCTGTCGCTCCTTGTTGGAGAACAGGTCCGTAGGGAACTCATGAATCGCTGGAAGACAAGAAGACACGGCAGGGTGTTAGTGGTCAGCAGGCCCCCTGCGGGCCTTGCATGCAGCGTGACAGTTCCCCATGGGACCAGGGAGCCTGCCGGCTGTGGGCAACCCTGGCAGGGGGCTGGCCAGCTGCAGTGCCTTTGTGCTCAGCTCACCTGCACTCTTCAGAAAACGCTGCCGAACGCTGGATTAGCCACTGACATCCTCAGAAACTAGGATGGCCCAGTTTCACGTGTCCCTTGCAGTGTTTTTTAAGCACGAAACACTTCCTACCCATTAGGACAGCAGTGACAGATGCTCACCAGCGTTGCCAGCAAGGACACGGACAGGTGGGAGCCCTCCTCCCTGGCTGGGTACCCCTCCACCCCGGGGGACACAGTCCAGCAGTTCCCCAAAAGGTTAAACATGCGGTCACTAACATGACACAGAGATCCCAAGAGAAACGAGAACACGACCACTCAGACCTCGCATGTGAGAATGTTCATAGCGGAACGACACACAGAGGCTGAACATAGAAACAACCCACACACCTAAAGCTAGTGATTGGATCAGTAAAACATGGTCTTTCCATACACAGGAACGTTTGGCAATAAAAAGCAAGCAAAGCACTGACATGTGCTACGGCGTGGACCAACCCCGAAAACACGGCGCTGAGAGGACCAGTTCCGCAGGGCTGCACGTTGTAAGGCCCCATTAATATAAAAGTCCCTAACGGGCGAATCACGCAGGACAGAGGCAGGCAAGCGGCTGCCCAGGGCTGGAGGCCTGGTGGCCCGGAGGCCTAGTGGCCTGGGGGGTGATGTGGGAGGGCGCAGCATGGTTTCTTTGGGGGTAAATGAAATGGTTCTACAACCGTGGTGATGTCTGCACAGGGTGGACATGCTGTAGGCCATCAGCTAGGTATCCTTTTTTTTTTTCTTTAAGATGTATTCATTTATTTATGATAGACATAGAGAGAAAGAGAGAGAGAGGCAGAGACACAGGAGGAGGGAGAAGCAGGCTCCATGCACCGGGAGCCCGACGTGGGACTCGATCCCAGGACTCCAGGATCGTGCCCTGGGCCAAAGGCAGGCGCTAAACCACTGAGCCACCCAGGGATCCCATCAGCTGGGTATCTTAAACTGCACAGGTCAACCGTGCAGTTCGTTGACCGTGCAGACCGTGCACGGTCTGCGAGTCACAGCTCAAAAAAGAGGCTACTGGGAAAAGAAAGTAGAGAGAAGTTTAGAGAGGCCAAGGAGAGAAGTCGGGGGATGCTCCTCATGGTCTCGGAGGACACTGATAGCATTCCCACACGGGTCCCAAGTGGCTTCCCCCACCACGGTGCCGTGGGGAAATGCTGTCCCTCCCACGGGCTGAGGCTGGGAGCTCGCTGTGGTCCCGGCCAGGTTCAGATCCTGCCTCGGATGTCTGCAGGGACAGCCCTTGAGCCCTTGGTCGCACCTCTGGTAAAGCAGGGAGGCTGCTTCTAACAATACGTTCTACACACATGGGGCCCACGGGAATGTCAGAGGTGCCCCTCAGGATCCTGGCACAGAGCTGCCTTGCTGCATCCAGGCCAGAGCCCAGAAGCGTCCTCTCCCACGGGGGTCCTGTCTGAGCCTGGCCCACCCCCCAGCAGTGCAAGGCCCCCGGCCCCTCCTCCCCACCTCTCCCACGGTAGATCTGTCCCTCCACACGGGGAAGCCAAGACCCCAGGGAGGTCCAGCGACACCGGGCTGGGGATGGCAGTGCAGGCCCGAGGAGGAGACTGCTGGGGTTACCAGCTGTGTACCCCCACATCCCCCTACCACGGGCCACGATTGCCGTGGCTGAGGCTCTGGGAGTCCTGCAGTGGGAACCTCAGCTGAGGCACAGCAGGGGAGGGAACGAGGGCTGAGAGCAGCGGTCCCTGTGCCCTTGGCCCCTGGCCCTCCGACCCCATCAGATTCAGGTATGCGTCTACCACACACTGCCATCTGGGGTCACCGAGTCACCGTGCCACAACCCCCACTGCAGTGGGTCCCTCTTCTTGTCATGGGCTCTCATCATCCTGGGTGGTGGGCAGCCTGTGACCCACAGAACTTGCTGCATCAGGGAATCAGATATCCAGCCTTCAGGGCACTGCCTTGACCCACCCAAGGGATCTGAGCAACTAACGTGCCTCTTGGGGCTCAGAAGGGTCCCAGGTGACGAAGGAGTAACTCCTCTGCCCTACTGCCCCATCCAAGGGGACCGATGGCCAGTGGGTGAGCAGCTGGTGAATATCATGTGTGCAGGTCCTGGGCTGGACACTCCCGCAGCCCCACATCTTCCCCAGTGGGGCTGGAAGCTTCCAGAAGGCGGGGATGCCCCTTGTCCTGAATCACGTTCTCTGCACCTGAGCCAGGCCTGGCACAAAGCGGGTTCCCAGAACACTTTAGCAGTTGACTGAATCAAAAGATGGTAAAATACTGATACAAATGCCCACCCACACCTTCCCGTCCCATCGGAATGCTCTCAGTCCCCTCAGTACCCACTTAAACCCCGAAGGATGCCAGCTTCGTGCCACGTGCTCCGTAAAGCTGCAGAGAACTTTCTTTTTCTTTTTAAATTTTTATTTATTTATGATAGTCACACACAGTGAGAGAGAGAGAGGCAGAGACACAGGCAGAGGGAGAAGCAGGCTCCATGCGCCGGGAGCCCGACGTGGGATTCGATCCAAGATCTCCAAGATCGCGCCCCGAGCCAAAGGCAGGCGCCAAACCGCTGCGCCACTCAGGGATCCCTGCACAAAACTTGCACGACAAAAATCCCTTCTCTGTAAATGCAATTTGGCCCTAGGCTCTGAAAGTCTTGATTTCTCTCTTCTGTGAAAATCTTTTCTCGGAGTCTCCCACAAGATATGGAAAACACCGGCTCCCCGGACACCCAGAAAATGGTCCCACTCTAAAACCTGCAGCCTTTAATGAAATACAGATTCTTTCACTCATTTTTCCCCTCATAATCAAACTTCTTGAACTGAACTGTTGCTGTCATGTCAAGGGGGAGGTCTGCTTCCCCAGCCTGTCAGCTCGGGGATGGTTATCAGAGGAAGGGGCTTGGCATTCCTGTGGCTGTGAGCATCTCTTTCCAGGAGAAACGTCATGGCCTGGGCTGTGTCAGCGCGGATCAGTAGACGTTTCTGCTGTGAAAATTCGAGACAGTTCCTGATTCTCTGAGTTAGTGTGATGAGAGCTGCTGATTTATTCAATTCCAGGAATTCTTCAAAAACTAAAATAAAGCAATGCGCTGCGCGGACGCCGTGTCTGGACTCCAGCAGGGGACACACGGGTTACAAGCGGCTGTGTCCATGGTAGGAACAGGGCCTGGCTTGCTCCGCCGCCCACATGCAAGCTGGCCGGTGGCTGAGGGAAGGCCGTGCTGTCCCTGCCTGAACTGTGGTGTGCAGACACAATGACCAGCAGAGCCTCCAGCCACTCATGATACACAGCTGTCCGGACCCTCCAGGTCCTCTGGACACGTTCTGACCCCATGATAAAGGCCCTACAGCCGTCAGTGTCCCTCCCTGTTCCCAGCTGATGCTCGGAGGGGAGAGTGACCGGTGTGGGGGCCCCAGCCATATGAGCCAGGACTCCTGGGGGGACCCCGAGTTCCTTGCCTGGGGTTGGGGGCTGCATCTAGCATGGAGGGAAATCTCAAGTGAAGTGGGAGGGGACACCTGAATTGCAGTCCTGATGCAGCTACCCATACTTGTGGGGCCCTGGCTGAGTCTGTCCTTCCCTGTTCTTGGGGATCACCCGGGACACACGTGGCGGGGGAACGTGCATGAGGCTGCAAGCAGGTGGACAGTCAGAGCCTGCACTCCCCGGTCAGCAACTGGTGGCTGGGACCAGTCTGCTCCCCGGTTTAGGACTCAAATCCTCCTGAAATAGGCCTCTGGGGTGCAGACGGGCCATGGAGCCTGCGAGGCAGGAACTCTGTCTATCCCAGCTCTGTCTCCAGCAGCTGCTGGGTGCACGGGCTCTGGAAGTGGCCAGCAGGTCTCAGGAAGGGTTTCTGCCCTTCAGTTATTGCTTGTTCGGCCTCAGCAAGTTGCTAACTGCTCAGGGCCACTCCCTCACTGCGCAGTGGGGGTCTCACCACCGCACCTGCCCACCAGGCTGCCGTGAGGGTCACACCATAAGCAGCTCCACCCAGTAGGCACCTGTCACCCAGGGCGGGTAACTTACAGGCTCTGCCCTGACCTAAGTCTGTCTCCATGGTTCCACAGGATGAGGCCTGGGTTTGTGAAAAAAGTAAGAGGAAGGACCGAACCAGCTGAGTGGGGAAGAGCAGGGGATCAGGGCCCCCACACCAGGATCAGGGTGCCGGTGCTGCTGAATCCCACTTCCTGAGAAAACCCTCCTCCTGGACTTGCTGGGATCAGCAACCCTGTCCTGGTCATGTTCAAGCACAGGACGCTTGCATATCTGTGGGGGTTGGAGGGGGTGGGCACCGAGCAGCCCCACCTGCTCAAATCTCCACCAGGGAGCAGGAGGGAATCAAGAGGGCAGGCACACATGGCTTTGGAGGTGATGCCTAAGCCTTTAAGCTACAGGAATCTGGCAGGGGTGGGTGTGGGGAAAGGGAAGCGATGTGTGTGCAGGTAGAGCCCTGCTCTGGAAACCAGGGATGATGCCAGCACCCTGACTCTGGGAGGTGGGAGTGGGGGCCCGAGGAACAGGCAGGAAGGGGAAGCTGCCAAAAACCCAGCAGCTTCTGCCCACCACCCTGTTAGGATTATCTCCTTTGGACTCTGGTGCCCAGAACTGGCTTCTCCATTACCTTTGGTTCTGGACACCCTTATGCCTCAGGTGTTGGCATCTGTCCCCCCCCACCCCCGCCCACTCCCATGGTGTACAAGGCCGGTAGGAGCTGGGGGAGGGTGTCCTTTCCCACCAAGTGCCTTTCTGAACATCAGGGGGAAACTGTAAGGCCCCTGGGGACAAAGGTGTGTGTGACCCCCCTCGCCACCACCAGCTACCCAGCTAACCCT